GATAGATGATAGTATACTTTTGCTCTATTTCGTAAAGTATGGAATCTTCGCACAATCGAATAGTCTTCATTACGTGGCAATCCTCCTTCGGTTTCAGGTAAGACCACATCACGAATTCCTTCCAACCAACTTTCCCTTCGAAATGAAGAGTCATGCCACGATATTGATAGATGAGTTTGATCATAGACGTGGTCCATGAAGTAAAAGCTTGACCACAAGATTTACTCGGTGTACATGCGGCATAGTGATATGGAAATCTGCAGCTTCATGTTTGATTGCAATGCCGATTAAGAATCCAGACTTTAGTGGCTTGCTCAGTGAAGCTGGTGTATACGTGCTATCAATTGCTTGAGGCAGAGTTTAGAACATAACGCCTTGCATAGCGCGGATACGTTGGCAGCGATGGAGTGAAATCATTGAAACTGGCAGATAAGGGAAGGATCCTACGCGGCAAGTGAGGGACTCTGATAAGCCCAAAAAGAAGAGAAGTTCGCATTAAACCGTAGCCTTAGATTAACACTTTGGCACAGTGGGTGGGATGTGGGAACCAGCAGGGAGTGTAAATAGGTTTCAAATAGGTAAACAAGTAAGAAATTGTAGTATTAAAGGAGTGATATGAGGATATAGGATAGGTGAATATCCCAGGACAGGAGAGATACCACAACTATTTAGCAGGCAATTGGTCAAAGGGTCGTCTTCATTTGTCTCTGACGTGTTGTAGCGTAGTGCTAGGAATGGTAAGGCTCACTGACTATGCCGGCGAAACGTCTGAGAATGTAGCTGGTATGCTGCCTAATTCGGGAACTTATCATGTACACTATGGGCTCCGGATGAGGTCTTCCTGTCAATATGAGCAAGTTGCGAAAACAAGGTCAAACAACTTCTATACAACGAAAGGAGATCGCGACCATACACAAGACCACAATATCTTGGTTTTCATACCTTGGAATAAAAGTTATTATGTTCGGTCTTTTTATCATTGATAGATAAATATATAGATTACCTGTCTCTTCTATTAATAAAACTGTCGTTAACTGTCTTAAATACACACATTTTTGTCTCTGATATTAGCTCTAGCCTAAAATTTTCTTTATTAAGGACTTAATCACTCTAGTTCCCTTCGTATGATTTAACGCCTAATAGTTGCGTTTTCCCACAAAGAGATTATTAGGCCTCAGGATCATATTGAATATCTCTTGCCCTTGCCTCCCAGGTATCTGTCTCATCCTTCATTGGCAGCCGTCTCGGCCTTGTCTAGATACCATCAGCATCCCCAACGGGATTTGATGCTAGGTCGACAGTATCTTGGCGACCTTAGCACTCCATTACACAACTACGGGTGACATTGAGTCGCAGTGCGCATTCAGGGTAAGCCAAGCGTCTCCCAACTTACTGATTAGGCAAACATTTGTATGCCATTGCAGCCAACTAATTATTCTTGGTACAGGTAGTTTTCGAAACTATCAGTAAATAATGTTTAAGAACTCAAGTACTATTCCTTAAATCACTGTGATTAAGTCCCCATTCAAGAATTACTGATAGTCTTGAAACCAACATATACTGAAAATATGTAACGTTGTCGACAATCCAATTATAAACGTGGTTTAGGAGATGGCTGGCTTGCCTGTGATTCACTGGTATCTTTGATGGCTAAGTTGAGTGGTAAACTCATCGCATTACTCGCAACTTGGTATCGAACCCCCATAGGGGTGTTGATGACACTTAGCCGGGGTCAAAACTGCTGTCTTTCGTGGATGAGGTGGACTTCTGAGAAGCAAGGTTAAGAGAGATTTAATGCGATCCTGAGGGCCACTCATCTCATCGTTGGAAAACTCAACTGACAGTCCTTAGGCCCTTATTCAAGAATTACTGATAGTTTCGAAAATTATTAATATTCTATCACTTATTTTTTTAGATCAAATGCGTTGGGCCACGTCTGCTACCTTTTCTTAAAACGGTCGGCATCCTATTCGTTATTTTTCCAGAACGTGCCGAGACTCTATCTTTCTGTTTGCTTAAATGTGCTCCTATCATCTGCCTCCTCACCTTTGTTTACATGTTTGGAATAAACTCCACTCACGATGGCTATTACTCCCACGGTATCTTTGTCGGCCTTTTGTGCAGCTTGCTAGGGGATTTCATGCTCGTTTGGCCAAGCTTATTTGTCCCCGGTACCATAGCCTTCGGACTAAGCCATTGTGCTTATTCTTGGGCATTTGGCATGACACCATTTTATCCGTATATCTTCTTATTCTCCCTTGTTCCCTTCACGGTCACACTGGCCATCACTAGTAGCATGAGCACTATCATCCGACTTACCTGTATTATTTACTCGCTGGCACTCAGTAACATGCTTTGGCGCGCATGGTCTCGAGCTCATCATGAAAGCCGAATCACTTGGACATGGACATCACTAGCCTCATTTATTGGCGCCTTTCTTTTTAATTTATCTGACGGTCTTCTTGCTTTTGAATTGGCTTATCATCCCTCAATCAATCTATATCATGGTGTATTGGTTACCTACTATGCGGCTCAGATGTGCATCACAGCCTCAATTGTAGATACTCGAAACGACGTCTGGAAAAGACTCCGAATCGACAATTAATATATCTTTATGTCTTCCTCTTGTACTCGCATGCATTAGGCCGACGAGAGAATTATCATAACCTGCATATTTTGGGGGTCTTTCAAGCTTCTGCCTTTATTTGTTAATTGATTGAACTCAGGGACAATAATATCGCAAAAACAACCAAATGCCTTCTCTGTTTTTGATAAGGCCGATGGATTGTTTCTTTTTCGCTATTACTTTCCATATTCGTAATTTGCCATTCTTCATATTCACAAAACGAACACTTGGTCTACCCGTTTCTCGGACTAATTTTATGCCTAGTCGCTCATTTTTATTTTCGATCATCGAATGCTTCGACACACTCACTCCAGGCGCTATTTCTCAAGGCCGTAGAAACACGTCCACTGCCGCTTCACTGAGCAGAGCGCATAGGCTCTGATTCACATGCTTGCAGATATTAGGCATTGCCTTCATGGGTCGTCTCTTTGATTAAGCCAGTGTTACCTGAGCAAACTGTGGATTTCTAGTACATTTTGGTCATAATGCCGATTTTGTGACGGTTGTGCTTATCCATCGGCCTAGTCCCCTGACTACTAAGCCCCCAAAGTTGTAGTAGTTTCTTCGAACAGGCATCACTCACTGATAATGTCTTCACTCGATTTCTGAAATCTCCCCCCCTTTTTGTCATCGCGATTCTTTTTCCTTCGGTTAGCGATAGCTCTTTTATCCAGGCGTTTCCTTTTTGCTGGTGTTGCTGTATTCTTGTTTTCTCTGAGTTTACTTAAGCAGTAGGCAAAGTTATAGCTTACTCTGCCTTCCTCCAATCTCCTGTTCATTAGATGACAGAAGTCATCTAGAGGGCATCCTGTTGGAGGTTATCAATGTCTCCGAATAGTTCCCCGAGGAGACAAAACGGGAAATGGAGATGGAACTAATTTCAAAGATCTTGACACATCAAGAGCCAACACACAGGAACAGATGTGCCAGGATACGCAAAACCATGGAAACGGATGAACAATTAGTCCGTCAGGCGGATAAAGGAGGAGCGACAGTGATAATAGACAAAAACAATATACCGAGAAGATGGAATATATTTAATCAGACAGGACTACAGATCGTAAACTCAAGAGGGACCCAACTATGAAGATCAATTGAATATTAAATGACATGCTGAAACATATGCATAGGAACAGGGAAATTGTGGCATGACCACCAACAGCCTACGTACTACTAAAGATACACAAAGAAGACGACCACTGAGGCTGATAGTCAACAAGCGTGGAGCAACACAATTTAGCAAAGTTCATAAGTTTGAAACTCAAGTAATTAAATAACAGGCTATCAAAACACTGTCAAGCGTTCATATGAATTTTCTAAAAAAATCAAAAACATGGCAATGGAGAAAAGAGATTTATGGTAATCGAAGGTATAAAAATCAGGATGGTGTAGCCTTTTGTATGATCGCGGTCTCCTATCGTTTTTTAGAAGTAGTTTGACCTTGGTTTCGCAAATTGGTCATACTAGCAAGAAGATTTATGGGAACGCATCTTGTCCGGAGTCCATAGTATACATGACCATTTTCAGTCGGACTGTGGACTTGGTACATTACCAGACGTTTCGCCAGCATCATCACTGAGTCTTACCAGTCTTAGCAACTAATCTACAACTCGTCAAAGTGACAAGTGAAGTCAATCCCTTGACCAACTTTCTGTCGAAACGGTTATGCATAACTCCTCGTTTTGTTCTTGTCCCTCTATCCATTTCCTATCCTCTAGTCTCGCCCTCGTCCTATCACAACTTCTGATATGTTTATATTCGTATGTGAGTAGGGTTACATGTTTATATTCCACAAAAGATGTGCCCTTTTGGCGAATTTACCATGGCGTCATCACACATACTGTTTGCCTTTCTCTCCTCTTAAGTGGGTGATCCTGATCTAGTCTCCTGCCCGGATCCGCCGCATTGACCCGTGGGTCCGTTTGTTATTTTTCTGGTTGACCGATTTCACTCGGTTCAGGTCCCAGCGTACTTTTACTCCAGGTTCTATTTCTCAGGCCTTCACTAGCACGTACAAAGTCGCCTTATCTTCAGAGCGCCTAGGCTATGATTCCAATGCCGGCGGATATTAGGCATTACCTTCACTAATTCTCTCCTCGATTGAGCCCTTGTACTTTGAGCAAACTGTGGACATCGATCTCTGGTCGCCCGCTGCATCTCAAGTGGATTATTAACTCATTTGGTCACAATGCCCGATTTATATGACTCAATCCCTCTCCCTAGTCACATAAAACGTCGACCCTCCAAGTTGTAAATGTCTATTCGAGCTGACTACTCTCACTGAAAACGCCTTGGCTTCATTTTCGAAACTTCTTCATCTTCTTCCTTGCTATCCCTTTTCCTCTGGTTTACCATAAATCCCTGATCCAGGCGTTTCCTTTTGTTTCTCTTGTTGAATCCCTGTTTTCTCCGAGTTTGATTATGCAATAGGCAAAGTTATCGCTGACTCTGCCTTCTTCCGACTTCCTGTCCATTATTTTTTTCCCCCAGGGATGTCAATGACCTCCCCAATCTTCCATTTCTTTGTGCTTTCACTGTATGAAGCCCTTCTTTCTGTTGCCTTCCAATTAACCTCGTGTCCAGTCTCTGCGATGTGTTCCGCTATATCTGATATTTCTGTATCAATTTTCCTGTAAAGCCTTTGATGTTCCTTGATTCCAATACTGATTTTTCTTCCTGTTTTGCCAATATATTTCTGTTCGCAGGCGCCACATGCTATGCAGTAAACTCCTGAGCAATCCAATTTGTTTACCCTTTCGTGCTGCGTGGGTAGACTTGTGAATAGTATTGTTTTTTTCTTCGTGATCACCTGAATATTCCATTTTATTAATATTGGCCGTAGTTTTTGAGCTAGTTCACGGGAATGGAGACGTATCCACTGTTTTGAGTCCTCCACTTTTATCTTTCTTTCATAATCTCCGTCCTGCCATCGGCTCTTCACGGCTAGTATATTTCTTTGAATTACTTTTCTCGGATATCCATTACCGAGGAATATCCGAGTCAATTTTTCATCCCAGAATTTAACTTCCGTTCATCGTAGGCTCCTGCTAATCATGCTCCTTAGTATGCCTATCTTTATTCTGTAGAACACAAGACCAAGTTGCAACAACGAGGTCAACCCACTTCTATAAGCCGAAAGGAGACTGCGACCATACCCGAGGCCACAACACCTTGGTCTTCACATTTTCAAAAAT